CACAAAAATAGACAAAATATTAGAATGAAACCCCATGTACACATCATCAGCCTCAACATAATCAACTCATAGCTAATCCTACCCTATCTACACACCATCTACTTTACTCTCTGCTGTATTATCTGGAAGCAAAGTTCAAACATCATATCACCTCATTCATAAATATTTGAGTATGTATCTCTGAATAATAAGTAATTTTAAAACATAATCACAATCTGGTTATCCTACCACAAATATAATCATTTAATAATATCATCTAATATCCAGATTATGTTAAATTTTCAGTTATTTCATCAGAATTTTATTAACGTTGTTTGAATCATGACCCAGTAATGCCATACATTGTGATGGGTTGCTAAATTTTTTATATTTCTTTTAATCTATTCCATGGGTTTTCTTGTTTCTATCATTATAATTTATTTGAAGGAACTGATGATCTATACTATAGAGGTTTCCATAACATACTGCATACTATGGTGTAGTTTTTAGCATATTTCTCCTTGCTCTATTTCTTGAAAATTGGAAGCTATGTTCTGTTCTTTTCTTTCCTTCCTTTCTTCCTTCCTTCCTGCTTTCCTTTCTTTTTTTTCTCTTTCCAGTCAGAAGCATCAGTTCTAGCTATCATTTTAATGATTGGTTGGGTTTTGTTTATATTTTGCCAACAGTATGCCTTTTTTGTGTCTTCCAGACTTTTATCCAGAGTCATGAGCATTGCCCTCAAGTGCTACATAATGAAAAAATCCAATCTTCTACTTAAATGATCCGTGCATAAAGCCTTTCATTTAACTGTTCCTCTTACCATCATGAGCCTCCTTTTCCAAATATACTGGCTTTTCAATGTCAATTTTAAAATGTTTGCCTGGAACTAAACTTGGTATTTTACATGTAATCTATTGCTTTTATTGATCAGGAGAATGGAGAACATAACCCAGAAATGATTAGGGCTTGAACCTAGTGCTACATCCTCCTTCACTCCCAAGTCCTCTCCATTTACGCCAGAGTACCTGCTCTTGGCTTTGGCAAGGTAAATGCGGATATGTAGGTTAGATTTCCTTTTAATTTCACCATCTGTTGCTCTAGGTGACATAACTTGTGTTCCTAGTTGTTAAGTAGTCTGTGAATTCTTGATCTTTTTTCTTGAGAGCAACAATGAGTGCTCTTCTTGCTGCAGAGTCTAGAGGAGCAAAACAAGGTGTAAAATAAATGACTATTTTTGCTCTAAATTTTGAATATCAAATTCTCTTGTAGGTTTGATTGTTACAAAAGCGGTGAAATGCAGTTCAGCTAATAGTAAGGAAAGAATTCCGTAGGTAGTATAGTAACCCTTCTCCTGAACCCTAAGGTTATATAATAGTTTAGAAGTTGACAGTTTGACATAAGCTCTTCTAATATTTTAAATAAAGAATTTCCTTTAACTAAATGTTCTAGTAAATTCTAAGTTAATTATATATAGGATCCTCACCAACTTGAATCCATTACATAGAAATTTGTATTTTCTCATATTTTGGAGGTTTTGGTGCCCAGGGAACACAATTATACAAATATTATAGTAAAGCATAAAATGATGGTATATCAGTTAATAGAAAATATTACATATTTTACCAACTTTTAAAAAAGTCTCCACCATCTTTTCAACAAAGCTATTAAGAATTATCTAAACTTTGTTTCTTTATCAAAATTACTTAAAAGGTATTTTGCATAGTAATATATGCTATCAAATACAAGCTACACCTGGTGGTCAAAAATTTGTATGGACTTCAGAAGGGGAAACTAACCTTGGCACTTGTCTAGGAATAACTGAGTATCTGGAAGGAAGGTAAAGGGCTATTCATAGCCTTAAACCTGTGTACTGTTTGATTCTAGTCCCCTCTGGGGCCTGATCTAACCTACTCAACATTGGCCTAATGTAGGCACCCAAGAACAGCTTAATTGATACCAAGCTAACTCTCAGTCTCTTATACAGTAAGAGGACATATTCAGCATGACTCCCGTCAGATCTGGATACAATACACAGCTGTGTGAATTTAAGCTTATTTCTTAACCTCTCTAAACCTCAGCTTTCTATTCTATAAAAAGCAATAATAAGAGTATTTGTCTCATTTTGGTTTCCCTGAGGATTAAATGAGCATATAACAAGTTTAATATAGTGCTTGACATCTTGTGGGTTCAGAATACATGTGAGTTGTTATCATTATCATTATACTTACCTTTATTAATCTATCATGCCAGAAGCAAAGATGCTGTTTCCCTAATATCCTTTGGGGTTCAACTTTGTCCTACTTCTAGTTTATCTATTGCTCTGTACCTGAAATGCAATTCTATATCTAGCATTATTTCTTTTCTTCCATTAGATGAAGTAATTCAGCTCGGAGCATGCAGTGGAAATGTACGTAAAGAACTTGGTAAGGTTTATAGGTAAGCATGCACTATAGTTGAATAAACATTGGAATAAGCCATAGGAGATGTGAACAGTATCCTCAGACCTTCCTTAATTTTCCACAGCCATGAAAGAATAATATAATGAGCAAGAGCCTGGTCTTTCCAAAAATTGAGGTGGGGACAATGGACTAGAGCTTTCTAAGGTGCTGCTTTAGCACTTACTTTCTTAAGTGCTACAAACTGCTTTTCCTGTGACAAATGGATGGGAAGGATAATTGGTAGAAGGCACAAGGCAACTGATGTAAGTGCTTACATTTCATTGATATGTCCAAAAGTGGTTGCCAAAGAAATATAGCAGATGAGAGAAAAGACTATTCTAGGTTTAGGGAATAGCCTGTACCAAGGCCTTGTATAAAAGAACACCTTTAATAAAAGATGAGAAGCAGCCTATTGTAGCTAGGGCACCACAAGTGAGAATCACAAAGATAAAATGAAAAGTATATAGTAAAGCAATGTGCAAAAAAACTCTGGATAAACACGCAGAATGACTGTGGTCCTAAACCTTAAAAGATAAGTTCATTTGAGTTGGCAGTCAAATTTTAATTTGAGAAATATTATTAATAAATCATTCCAAAAAAGGAAAAAAGTGCATAATTGATGTTCAGATGACATAGATCTTATGAGCTGTTAAGATCAGGGAGTGGTAAATGACCATCACCCAGGAATTAGATGGTATTTTTACTTTTAAAATTTATTACTAATTCAATTAAAAAACAAACAAACAAAAAAACTTCAGGTCTTCCAAAACCCCTTTAATATTCCCATAGAGAGAAGGTAGAAACAAAAATTCTATCTCAAAATCAAAACTTCTCCTAAAAAAGTTTTGTGAATCAAGTGCAAAGGTCTGCAGAGCATAATCCACAGGCAAATCAAAAACGGTTTGGCCAACTGACCTCTTGAATCAGCTGCCAGTCCATTCCCTGAACAGAGGTAGGGAAACATAGTCATAGGTATCTTAATAACTTGTGCAGAGCTAAGCAAGAAGTTTTTATAGACAGATCTCTTTAAGACAAACTAAAGGCCACATGACACAGAATATCTAAGGAATAGGAAAAAATGCTATTTCTATTTAGTTAGTAAATTCTGAACTAAAATTGATAAAGAATAAACTTTATTTTATCCTACAGAAAAGAAAGAACAAACTAGATCTAAGGGAGCTGGCTTCAAATCTCGGCAATGCTGTGGTCTTGAGCAAGTCATAGAACATTTTGGTTAGTTTCTTTTTCTGCAAAACGAAGACGATAATGCTTACTTAATTGAATTGCATAAGGTTAAAATAAGTAAATACACATAACATTCTGAGCAAATCATCTAATTCATAGAAATCTCTCAGTAATTGTTATTAATTTGGGGTACCATTCTCAATTTCTCAGTGGAAGGTACAAGTAGGACAATTCTTATAAATATTGACTGAAAATCTCTACCAGAAATTATTGTAGACAAAAGACAAAAATCACATATTCTATTTTTCAGTTGTCTGATTCAAAACAAACCAGTACGGCATTTAACTTGGAAACTGTCAAGAGCACCACCTGTCTGGTTTTCTTGCAGCTGTCAGAGGCAAATTTTAGATCCACCTCCAAAATTTTTACCCTAACTAGAATCAGACTTTCTCTGTATTCAAAATGCCTTAGTTTGAAAGAGTTCTTCTATTCTAAGAAACGTGTGTTTGTGCGTGTCTCTCTCTCTCTCTCTCTCTCTCTGAGTGTGTGTGTGTGTGTGTGTGTGTGTGTGTGTGTGTGTGTTAAACTTGCTACCATGGGGAAATAATGAAAATTAAATAGTTTAGTTACAGCATGTAGCTTTCAATAAAAGCATTAAAACAGAAAATATTTATTTTAATATAAGGATAGAATTCAACATTTAGAGGGCAAAGAGGAATGAGTTTATAAAAAGAATCAGAATTCTAACACTTAATTGCCTTATTTTTAAAATTGCATTAATCTGTAGTGAATTCATGGAATTCCAAACTTTATCTCTGAATATCTATCAGTAACAAAATAGATACAAATTTTGTTGGAGCACTTATATCTTAAATTGTATATAAGCCTTATCTATGTGTGCATGTGTATTTACACACTCTAGTTGGAAAGGAAAATCATATTTAAGATCTCCATTTTAAAATAACATAAAGCAAAAATGCTCACAATTATTATTTTAAGTTTAAGCACTAAATGTAATATTTTAAGTTTATCATGGTCTCCATCCTTGCAAGCTTTGTAATTTTTGCTAGATAAGATATTTAATATCAGCCATCATGTTACATGATCATAGCTATTTATAGAGGTGCGGGTGACAACTGTTAACTGTGGGCCCTTTGGTATAGCAGAGAACAGTTTCCACATGCAAAATTTCAGAGAAATCTCTTCTCGCTCCCCCAACATACAGATCTGGCAGCCTCTCAGCTCTCAAATCCACTCCTTTGATCGTGGATAGAATCATTGAATAAGGCAATTACCTCAAAGCAACATTTTTAATGGACATATGGACAGTCAATGTGGCTGTCAATTTACACATTTTTCTTTTCCTTACTCGATACTATTGGAAAATGGTAGCAATACCTTCAGCAGTGAGCTCAGTCATGGTGGTCGTAGAAAGTAAAAGTCAGGTGAAAAGTTCCCGTCAAGTAGCACTTTGCAGAATACTTTCAGATTCGAGAACTCTGGTAGAGGGCTGTGTGTTTAAACGTGAGGGCTCTTCGTTTTCCTGGCTGTTTCTGCTGCTTCTTCGTTGTCCTGTTGAACTTTGCCTCTTCTCTGCAGAGTTCTCCCCCTGGAAACAACCTAAGCCCTTTCCAAGCAGCACTTGTGGCTCAGCTAGAAGTATCAGCTTCAAACAAAAATAGCCTCATCACCCTAGGACTCTTCAGCACTTTTTTTTTTTTTGGCACTCTAGGAGAACACACAGACACACACACACACACACACACAGACAAACACACACACACACACACCAGATCTCTGGCCCCAAAGAGAAATAGGCAAAAAGAAATCCAAACCAGAACAACAACAAAAACCCAAAAGCCAAAGGAACTAAGAAGTACTGTCTAAGCCCCCGCAGTTTCTCTAAGATAATTACAGATCTTGGGGTCTATGTCAGAAAACATGAAATAAAGAGTTGAAAGTAATCTTATCCATGACAGCTCAGATTTATTCTTAGTGCCCTTAAAGCTCAGAACATTCTTCTTTACCTTATTTGGTTTGGGGAGGGTCCTGTAATGTCTACCAGAGGCAAAGGGGAGGATAATCTCAAGTAATTTTCTCAAAGTTAATTCCCTATTGGTCCCAATCCATTTAGCAAGTGCAGTTATTTATATAGGGCTACATTTAAAAATGCAACTATTAAATCCCAAAGCTTTATTCTAGTCTTGCTGTTGGAGGTTAAGATTTTCTAAACACTGACCAATAAGAATTATGTAATGTGAAGTTATAGTCTGATACTTGAGAAATGTTGAATATCTTTTTAATACCTTATTGAAAACAAAATATCTGAATTTATCTATGCAGTCAAAGAAAGGGAAAGTGACATAACGTTTAGAAATCTACAGCTAACACTTTAGTAAAAGATTTCAACTTTTCCCCTCCTCAACTTAAAATAAAAAAGGACGATGGCAGCAGCTAACAATTAGCCAAATTGGCTGATTAGCATTTCACCTTCCCACTCCTAGACAGGTGTTAATGAACAGAGAAATATTCAATAGTTGGTAGTTGGAAGGAGAAGGAGAATCAAAGGGCATTGATAATCATAAACTCTAGCCAATTCGTGAATAATCAAGGGTTGACTACACTTTTATTTTATTCTTATATTCAACCTAACAAGTGCTTGTAGTTTAACATTTTAGCCTTAACTTGCTGCCTTTGGTTGTCGGACCTCTTGAATTTGTATAGTACTTCATAGATCATAAAGCAAAGCCACGTCTGTTATTTTAAATTTTCAGGCTCAGAAGAGTGCTGCAACAGCTATTTCCATAGATGGTGACCTCCTCCATGTCAGTGGTTCTGCCTTTATCTGTTGTCCCCATTCCTGGCACAATAGAAAGTGCTCCTACATCAGCTAAATAAATAAATTAGTAAGTAATCTTAATTTACAAGGAGGAGATAATTCCAGATAATATTCATGATTTTGTACAAGGTCCTCCATCCAGGACTGGGCTTAGAGCCTTTAGACTACAAGTCTGAAACCTCTCCCAAGGGGTGAGGCCTTGTTGCCAATTGCAGGTAATGGGGATCACTATGTGTTAGGCCCACCGGTAGAATGGAAAGATGCAAAATCCTCATAGCACCCTCCTAGAGCAATAGTCTGGAGGAGGTGTCCTTAGAGCAGAACTCTCCCCTCTTTGCCCCCCAAACATCAGCATTCAATACTGTCACTGGGCTTCCAATTTCAAGAAAACAGTAATTCATATCTCCATTCATCAGTTACTTTCATAATCTGTCACTGTACTCAACTGAAGAAACAATATCTTGTGTAACTCATTAAGAATTTTCATGGGTCAGGGCCTAAATAAAATTAGCTAACATAGGAAAAAACATCAATTTCAAATCCTGACTCAATAAAAAGTTAAAATGATATGATAGAGCAAGAATATTAAATTCCTACTGACTGTTACTACTCTCAAGTTTCTAATCACTAATTTGACATTAAACACACTAGAAGGAAAAAGAAGATCAAAAATATTCTAGCCAATAAACATGTTTTTAGGATAATAAATATTTTAATCCTATCTGTGAGATGAGCTGATAAATCTTATTAGACATTGAGAAATTAGTGTATTTCTCATTTTGCAGAGTTCTTAGAACTCTTAACTTTTTTGAAACTCATGAGGTATATCTTTGAGTTTCAAATGGAATCTATGAAGATTTTCAAAACCAAATAACTGAAATTCTTGTAAATGTGTATACCCCATTTTCTAGGAAGCTCAAAGAATAAAAC